TTCACAGTATTTTATACTCGTTGCATTTTCAAAAACAGGATCGTTACTTTTTGTAAAACACATTTGAGGGAAGTTTTCATTTTCCATTACTGCATGCCCTCACACATCAAAATGATTTAGCCTAAGCAGTAACTGAGGAAAGGCAATGCTAATGGTGTATCAATCTTTCCTCAGGCACCGCTTCTTCTACACGTCCTGGGGGAGGGAAGCTCATCTCCAATTATCCTTTCAGCACACCGCACCACTCTTTGGTGAGCTTTGTGGTTGTAAGCGGTGCTGTTGCCATACCACGTGGTGATGCGTCCAGTGAGGATGCTCTCAAAGGCACAGCGGTAGAAGGCCTCGAGGATGCAGGAGCTCTTGCCGAATCTCTTCAGTCTCCTGAAAAAGAAGAAGCGCTGCTGCGCCTTCTTCACTGTTTAGTTTGTGTGTACTGACTATTGAATGCTGAGCTGTAATCTACAAACAGCATTCTCTCTGACGTGTCTCTCTTCTCCGGGTGCGAGAGGGCAGTATGTAGTGTCAGGGCTGTGGCATCATCAGTGGGCCTGTTGTGGCGGTATGTAGCGGTTCCAGTGAGTCGGGCAGTACAGAGCAGATGAAGTCCCCGACCAGCCTTTCAAAGCGTTTGCTCATGATGGGGGTCAGAGATACCGGTCGCCAGCCGTTTAAGGAAGAGGAAGGAAGAGATGGTGGAGGGTTTGGGTACAGAGACGATGGTGGCCGTTTTGAAGCAGGCTGGGACTACAGACAGAGAGAGGGAAAGGTTGAAGATGTGTGTGAACACTCTAGCCAGCTGAGCCGCGGTTGATTTGAGGACACAGCCGGGAATCCCGTCTAGACCAGTAGCTTTGCCTGCGTTCACTCGTCCTCAGACACAGTGTGCACGCTGACATCATCCATGACGCGCACACTTTCCGGTCTCATGGTGTTCGCTGAGTTTAAACTTTTGTTTGAGGCCTGTGTTTGGGTCGTCATCCTGCCTGCCACACAGCGCTACACGACAGAAGCTCTACTTGGAACTTTGTTAAGATCCGCCAATGCAGAATATGATATTTTGCCATTTTTAAAGGGGTCTTAAACGTTTGATCAGTACTGTAGTCTAAATTCAAATTTAGACTGAAATAAAGTTTAGATTCCCATGTACTAATATAATTAGCTCAAGGTAGAAACAAACACCTTTTACTTGCTTTCTACTTTCTTCTAATTTGCAATCCTGTTATTTTTTAAACCTAAATTGTAAAAAATGACCTTGAAGTATCATTTTATGTGTTTTCATTTTATGAAAGTATATAAACTTTTATTTATGGCCATTATTAGAAAAGGATCAAGGGTCAGCTGGCACTATGCACAAAGGTCTGTTAGCCGTATTTATAGTGACGGGAAAAAGTGTAAAAGTTCTCGTAGTGCTCAGAGTTGAAAAAAGTGTATAAGTACAAATCCATGACTGGCTGATAGGAAAGCAAATAAAGAGCCAACGTAAACTTAATAAAGCACAGAGACTGTTCAGATCATCACAAAAACTCTACAATAACTACAACCTACTGAGATCATATCATAAA